GTCCGAAGTCTTCGGGCAACAGATAGTTTCGTTGACCCGAAGTCAGGATTTTGACAAAACGCGACGCGTTGTCATAACACGTCGATATCACTCTATATTACGGGTATTAAGAGTAATGAAATACAAATACAACAATTATGAATGCAATGATCAGCGATACTAATGATAAATTCATAGGGAATGTCATATCGATAGAAATAAATGAATAAAGTATTAATATAAGGATTGCATTACTTTTTCCAATAGTCGACGAAAGCCTCGCAACTGATGACATCCTTCTTTCCATTTCCATTACCATTATTTATATTATTATTATTGTTATTAATATTAATGTTTGAGTTATTCACAGCTCTAAACACGGGTTCTTTCCAATAGAGGGGTAAACCGACTATTTTGAGTATCGCTCCCAACTCTTTGCGGCCAACAATTCTGGCCGGAAAGCGGTCAAAAACGGCCGTTATTTTACGTATCTGTGTCTCGACCTCATGTGACGAATAGGGCCGACCCAATGGGTAGTAAAATTTGGGCAGTTGTCCGGGAAGGCAACCACTGTTTAGTGAGTTTGATCGCGAAAAACGTCGGCTAATTATCTCGTTCTGTAAACACAAGTGTTTTATAAGTTTATGATTTAAATTAAAACTAGATTTTTTATTTTGTGCGCAAATACATTAGTTTAGTTTGGAAATTACAAATGATATAATGCTTTAAAAATATAAACAAAACTCTTATTTTGTTGTTTAAACAAAGCTTTTGTTATAAAGAGAAAGTCGTTTGAGTGAAGATTTGGGTAAAAAAGAGTTAAAATTAATGCGATTCTTGTTTTGTAAAAGAGATATCAAATATCAGTTTTGTTAGATTTTAAAAGTGATTTCTATTTTTTATGTCACATTTAACCAAAACGTTTGGATAGTTTGCGAAGACATTGGTATAGCGTGTGTGGCAGGCATTGGATCCGATTAGCGGAAAAGAAATATTACATAATATAGTGGTAGTAGTGGTGGAGGAAAG